TAGATTTTAACAGGTCAAGCACATGAACTGAATTTGATCTTTATGAGCTCTCTTCCCTTTCTCCCTTTTCAGGTTAATAACAATTTTAAGTATGCAAACAGCTGACTTAAAAAATAAAAATTAAAAAAAAAAAATGTATCTTAGAAAGGTGAAGATTTAGTGTGCAAGCCCAGACCTCTTCTGCTGTCTGGACTTGAGCTTAACTCTGTGACTCATTTTCTGAAGTAAACTCAAAGCCATTTTTCATAAATATTCAAGTACCCCTATCTTTCATATTCCTTCCCACTTCACTTCTAGCACAGGAAACTATAGTGTGCTATCACTTTCCTTCATATTGACAGGTTAAAATTAATGCTATGATACTAAAATGTTTGGGTTTAAGTGGATGTTTCTGTTTTTAATTCTGTAATTTTAACATGGGATTTCAATTCTAACACTAGTGTCTAGTCTGTTCTTTTTTCCCTTGCTTTAAATGTGTGAACCTTAATGTCAACCAGACAAACTATCAGCAGTTCTTAGAATATCTCATTGCTCTACGTGATGGATCAATATTTAATGAAAAGAAAAATCATACTTAAAAAAAATACCCTAACCTAACCCTAGGTTACAGAATGTCCAGGCTTATTTTTCATTAATTATTTATCCACGCAATTTTCCCTGAAAAGCACCTTTTTGTTGTTGTTGTTGTTTGTTTGTCCATTTTTTATACTTTGGAGTCCTGGACATAAAGTATTGTGGCTTTTTGCTTTCTTATTTCTTTCTGTTCGCTGTAGCTAACTAGATACTGTTGTGCAGCACATGACTAAATGTACTATCAGTGACATTTTAAAACTGGATTATAAAGTACTCAAACAAAATATTTAAAATAATAATAATAACTTTAAAAGGCAGTTCTAACTGTTAAGGTTCATTTGCTTTTACAATGGCAATCCTTGAACAAAGAAAGATCTGTAAAATAATTGCCTGACTGGCTCTCGCTCAAGTTTTACTCGATGAAGGCCTTCATTTTGAAAGGTAAATACTGCCAAAATAGCTCCTGAAGATGCCAGCTGAATCCACAGAACAGCAAAATGTGAACTGCGAGAAATTATTTCCTTCTCATAGTGAGAAGAGCATGATTTTGCTTATAGTTATCATAAAAAACAATTTATTTTCCATGCATTTGCTTCAAATTTACACCAACAGAAAAACTTTTCACAGTGAGCTGTAGAGACAAGCCTGGAAAAGCACATGTGATAACATTCCTTCTTTCAAAAAATAACTGAAGATATGGAGCAACAGAGAGACCTTCACTTACTGAGTAAATTTCCCTTAGAATAGGGTATACCATTTCAGAATGTTACTTACTGCATAATTATCTCATTAATTCATCAAGCTAACTAACTAGTGCTACTACACTTTTCTGTCTCTCATTATGCTCTTAAGGTCTTCCTGAGATGCTGTCTTATGTTTGCTGATTTGGGGCAGAAGTTGACCTACTATGTATGTTATAAACAATGCAGTGGAATACTAGACTGGTCATTAAATCAAAGTGCTCTGAAAAAAGAAAACCACAAACAGAATAGTCTTTAGAAAAATGGCTGGCTAGCGAGCTAAAAAGATGAGAAAGCAGATTATTTCAAAAGTTACGTTAAGAAACGTGTTCTAGTTTGTTATTATGTTACTATGGTATATGATTTAAATTTTTTTTTCAGTTGAATACCCAGCAGCAAGCACACAGGCAAATCCTCTGTTTACTTCCAGAAAGGACAAAGGCGTTGGACAGGGAGGCATGGGAGGGAAATCCCTCCTGCACAGGGAGGGATGGGAGGGAAAGGAGAGGTCACAGCTAGGGCAAATTCCTGCTGATTTCTGATAGTGTATGCTTCCTTATGGAACCATTTAAAGCAGCTACAGCCAGATCTCACGAGAATCATAACTAGTTGTTGTTTTTTTTCACTTTGCTAGTGTTTATTAATCCTGTACGAAGCAGATTAGTTCTGGAATTTGATAGAGTCACTTGCACTCCCTTTCATGGAGGCAGATGGTGCATAAAGCAAACTATTTCTTTACTAGCAATCCAGCAGGTGCTTAGCCACGGGGGCCAGGGAGGAGCTGTAAGTGCAAAAGTGCTGCAGCTGGCTGGTGCTTGGAATGTTGCCAGTGAATCTGAGCTACTCAGGCTCATGCTAGTAGGACAGAAACTCTTCCTTGTTTTTTCCTGGAGGATCAGGAAAATCAGAAAAAAGTCCTGATTTCAGCACTTCACGAAAATAATGCCAAGGAGTAGCTAATAGTAAAATACATACAGTGAGCTTATTTACCTGCAGGATCTCAAGGAACCAAGAGATTGTAAATGACATACAACTGCTGCTGTTGTTTTATTTTATTAAACTTACTTGTGTTCAGCTTGTTTGTGATTTCTTCATTATGAATTCTTCAACAGAGGCAGTCTAATAAATACTGAACAAGAAAATAAATAATAAAAGTAACCTCACATCTTTCTTGTCAGTTGTCAGTATTCTTGAATGAGATGCACTCATTATTTTAATTTCAATATTAGTTTCAACTAATATTGTTAGAACTCTCTACCTAATACAAAAACTTAACTTATTTGAAGGCAGCCTCATACACTGGATTCAACATCTTTCAAAAGTTTCTCTCTTATTATGAAAAGAAAGGTTAATATGTGCTTTACAGAGAGATTCAAAACTGTTTTTATTCAGACTATTGCATAGTTGGACATTTGTTGAGTTATTCCAAACTCCTTAGAATATTAACCTATGAGTCTCATCCTTCAACTTTTAAGTAACATCAGGGAAAGTAAAGGGAACTGAATTTACAGAAACGTTTAGCAGGAGCTATTGCCTTTCAAAAAGCCGTAGCTAGCGACACAGCACATGATCAGGGAGAACAAAACATTCAGAGCAGATAAGATTAGTTCGTCAAACTAATTTTCATTGTCATTCATTTTCATTCATACTCATGGTCATGGTTTGTAGGATACAAATTTGAGGCTGTTGAAATGGAACACAGTAGAGACAGAAATTGCTAGAACTAAAAAAGATACTGAAATAGTAGGAATTTTTCATTACTAAACATAACATTAAAACATAAACCACACAGATTCATCTGTTTATCAGAATGTATTAGATTTTGGAACTATTTGGTTAACATTCATAGCAATTCATAGCAAGTTGACAGTATGTTGTGGCAGACTGTGAAGGAGGAATGTGAGTGTGCTTGGCAAGGAAATTCCTTTGATCCTAACGAAGGCGCAGAGCTTGTCCAGGCCCAGTGAGAACAGAAAGCTATGAAATACTCTGTATCAGATCTAAGCAGGAATAAGGAAGGTTAAGGAAGAATTTGAGGACTGCTTTGCAAAGGACGCTCAAACCATCAGGAAAAAAGGGTCCTTATACACATCAAAGAAAAGTGGTAATGAACCCAATGAAACTGCTTCATGACAAAAGTCTTAGAGAGGAGCTCGGGGGTGGCAATGCCATGGATCAGCTCCCCAGGGCATCGGCCAAGACCCCAAGTGCTGGAGTTCAGGGAGTGGCTGAACAGTCCTCAGTCACAGGGTTTCAATTTTCAGAGGTTTTGTGCGCAGCCACAAGCTAGACTATATGATTCTTGTGGATCTCTTCCAACTCATGATGTTCTTTGCTGCTACCTCACTGCACACGTATATGATCACTTTCTGCAGGGTGAGAAACATTCCTAATCCAAATCTCCTACACCTGTCGCTATTTTCTGTAGCCGAGCCAACCGCTTTTCAGGACCGACTTCTGTCGCTACGCAAAGGCTGCCTCAGGCTCCCGGCGCACCACCGACTTCGGCACGGCACGGCACGGCATGTCCCAACCCCCGCTCACCACTCGAGGACAGGACAGGACGCGGCCCTCCAGCCCGCCCCCCAGCAGGTGCGCGCCGTACGGCGGGGGCGGATGCTCTCCCGCCTTCGCGCATGCGCGTCGTCGCCGCAGCTGGGATTTCGTCGTCTGAGCCTGCGCGGTCCTTTCTCCCCCGGGCGAGATGGCGGCGAGGAGTCCGGTCTCGGGAAGCGAGTGAAACGGGCGGCTGAGAGCTGGGGCGGCGGGCAGAGGGTCCCGGTGCCGCGGCCTAGGCGCGCCCGAGGGAGGCGGCCGCTCTGTGGGGGCCGGGACCCCGCGGCGCTCGGGAAGGAGGGGGGGGGTCTCCCGTAGGTCGCCGAAGGAATGTGGAGCTGGGGAGACGGGGCAGGGACCGGCCCTGGCCGGTGAGGAGGGGAGCGGTCGCGGAGCCCGCGCCGCGTATGCGCGCCCTTCGGCCGCCGCTTCGGGCCGCCCTGGGGGTCCGCTTCGTGGGTCCGCGGCGGAGGCGTCGAGGAACCGCGGCGGCGCTGCCGGGCGGGCGGAGCGAGGCAGGCAGGTGAGTACCGTGCCCGCTTCCCCGGGCCGCAGCTCTCCCCACTTCTCACGCAGAGCCCTTCTGGGTTCGTCCCCAGGCGCGTGGTCTTGTTCCCCTCCTGCAGTTTGCCCTGTGGCCCAGCCGGGCCGTCCCCGCTCCGCACAGGGACTGCCTCCCTTAGATGTCGTCCCTCTCGCCCCCGGTCGTGAATTGTCGGTCACGCGACGGAGCCGTTAGTGGCGGTAGTGTTGCGTGATGTGAGTTTACTTCTTGGTTTTGAACCCAAACCTCTGTCCCCAAAGTATTCGGAGACTTGCTAACTGAAGTGCTGCTGGAATAGGAAGGCAGTAGTAGTGAGTCCCGCTGACTGGTTCTGAGGAAGAGTCCATGAGCTCTCTTCCTTGAAAAGATTTGAAGTCCTTAACCTGCAAAAACCTTCCTCTAGCTGTCAGTCTTTGACTTCAAAGAGGAGGCTCCAGGGAGGCTCATGTGGCCTTCCAGTACTGCAGGGGAAGCTTGCAAATAGGATGAAGACTGACTTTTTAGATGGAGAGAGGACAAGGAATGAAGGCTTTAAACTGAATTGATTAGATTTTAGGAGGAAGTCTTAAAGAACGGTGAGGCACTGGAATAGATTGCCTAGAGAAGCTGGAGATGTGCCACCCCTCGAGGCTTTCAGAGCTGGCTTAGATGAGGCCCTGTGCAGCCTGATCTGTTGAGAGGCAGCCCTGCCATGGGATGAGGTTGTTATGGGGATGGGCTTCATTGTCTCTGCCATCTCAAGCCAGTCTTTGATTCTGTGTGTCAGGGTTTTTTAACAAGATGTTAAGAGACTTGCAGGTGAGGGTTGGATCTGTACAGGTATGACTAAACTGTAGTTATTGAAGTCATTCTAACCTCAACTGATGTTTGTAGTTTCAGAAGTTTTCAAATGTAGAGAGAACATTTCAGATTTGAGCAAATGTCAGCCTCACAGTGTAACTGCAGGGCAAAAGAAGTAGAGATGCAAATTTACTCAACTGTGTAATGATTTGTTTGCTGCTGTCCTGTCACCCTTAATAATGAACAGTGTGTTAGTAGTGGCCTGTAAACAGGGAAGACAAAAATTTTGGTAAAGCTGTCCTGGAAATGTAACTTCTCAAAAACTAAAGCTTTATAGAAGCTGATTTCACATAAATACTTCTTCCAACTACTATGTGAACAAGAGATTCTTTTGTTTCTCTGCTCCAGTGGAGAAGCACTAGTTTGAAAGCTTTTTCTCAAGTGGTTTTTGCAAAAGTCAAGTAAAATTAGATAATTAATTGAAAGCAAAGCAGAACTTTTCCTATTCAGGTGCTGTAATCTTGTATTTTTAAAATGAGTTTGAAGGAATTTGTATGCATGCCAGTCCTGAGCACATAAGAATCATTAGTCATCTACAGTAAATGCCAGGAGATCAAAGAGTCACAGAATGTCTTGGACTGGAAGGCACCTTCAAGAACACCCAGTTACAATCCCCTGCCACGGCTCGGTTGCTTCCCACTAGGTCAGGCTGACCGGGGCTCCGCCCAGCCTGGTCTTGAATGCCTCCAGGGATGGGGCATACACAGCTTTTCTGGCTAGCCTGTGCCAGTGCCTCACCACCCTTTGAGTGAATAATTTTCTCCTAACATCTAATCTAAACTCCCCTACCCTTGCCCTATCGCTATCAGAACACGTAAAAAAAGCCTATCTCTTGTTTATAAACTTCACTGAAGTACTGCTAAGCCATGGTGAGGTCTCTCCAGAGCCTTCTCCTCCTCAGACTGAGCAAGCCTGGGTTTTCCTTTATCCCCTTCTTGGAAGTAGAAACAAGTGTTTCTCCTTTCTTTTTTTTTTAAGTCACCAAGGGCTTTACCTGACAGCTGTTGCTTTTCGCCTATAATGGAGAGTGATTTGGCAATGTCATCTGGCTCCTTCAGGACTCTGGGACACGCATAGTCTGTGCCATAGACTTGTACACATTTAATCTCATTGGGTGTCCTCAAACTTCTGTTACAGGGGGGATAGGTTTTTTTCCTCCTCTAACTGTTGCTGTTCAGTGTCTGGAGATGTGTGAAATATGTGACTGACAGTGAAGACTGAGGTAAAGAACTGAGGTACTCCACAAGCCTTTTCCATGACTCTTGTTGCCATTTCTCCCTTCTCGTTTATCAGAGGATTACAATCCCCTTAGCCTTCATTAATCAATGTATCTGTAGAATCCCTTTCTTGTTTTCATGCCCAGGCCAATCATCCCTTCTTCCACTACTTCTGTTCCTTCAATTTGACCAGCTGGTCCTTCCTCAGCCATGACAGTTTCCTGCCTCCCCTGCTCAATTTCTTATGCCTGGGAGACGGACAGCTTTTGCTCAGAAAGATGTTCTTTAAGAGCTGCCAGTTCTGCTTTGTTATTTTGTCTCTAAGGACAGCGTCTCAGGGGATGTCATCCAATAATTCCTTTAACAGATGGAATTTTGCTTTTCTGAAGTTCAGAATCCTGACTTTTTTTGGCCTGTTGACATGCCCACATTTGCTTGATATCATGGTTTCAAGTTTCTTGATATATTTCTTTTCCTATTATATTTATGATGAAGATTATAGGGTAGTTCTGCCATGGAAAAAAGAACTTTGCAGTAGTGAATACTTGAGGTCCTTGAATGCATTACATTTCAAAAGCAATCATAAATGGGTTATTTGGTAAAAGCTTTTATACTTAATGTTATAATGAAAGAAACAAGCCAGAACTCTGGAAATTAAAATGCTAATATACTTGATGATTTTATTTCTAAATATTGCAGTAGTAGATACTATTGAGAATAAAAATGTGCCTTAAGAAATGCAATGAAATGCATGCTTTGGTATACTCAGAGCCTCTGTTGCACAAAATATTTGTCAAGTAACTAGTGTCACAATTGCTGTTTCTTAGATTATCAAACTGCAATGCCATCAACAGTGTGCTGTGCCACAGAGTGTGCAAAGCTTTAGATACTCAGTTTTACTCAATATTATTGTTAAATTATTTGCTGTTAGCAAGCATCTACATTTTGTGTTTATGGTACCTCATGACTTTTGAAAAATATTTATATGTATGTGTGGATGTATTTTTTTGTAAATATTGCTAGAACTTTATTATTATCCAGATAATCTTTTATGTAAAGAGTTGTATAATGTTTAAACACAGAATAATAAAACTTAATCCTATAATTGAACAAGAGAGGAAAAGCTTTGATTTGACTAACTTTATCTTGACTAGACTGAAAATTAAGTAAATCAAGCTAGTTTGTACTGTTCTACAGCAGCTAACTTGTTTTAGGCAGTTGAGTAATGAGGAATTACTCACTTTTAGAAATATTTTATGACAGGAAATATTGAAATATCAGGAGTGGCATGTGAAAGCATAGGGTAGTATGAATCTCATAATTTCAACTTGCAGACTAAACTGCAGGAGTTATTCCATAGCATTATGCAGTGGAAGTCCATTAATTTTCTCTTCACTCACCCCATCTGAAACTTAATGTGAGATTCAGTTTTTTGTTGTGGTTAGGGCTTATATTTTTTGAATTGTTATCTTGGACAATAGAAAGAAATGCCTTTTTTCTTTGTATCATTGTGTTTTCACAGTATCCTTTTCAGTTACTTGTATGATGAGTAAGCAATGGATGAGTGTACTGAAATTATGTAGGTAAACAACTTGGTAAAAGCAATATACACCACTAACCTTTCATGTTTCACTGAGGTTGTTGGAATGATGAGAGAAGGAGAAAGGTCTATCCTAGGATTATTTTATGAGTTTAGCTTTCAATGAAATCTCCATTGTAAGTATGAAAATGCAACATGAAAGTGAGTATGCAAGTACTCAGCTTAGAAATGGAATCCAGTAGTTGTAGCTAATTTTCAAATAGATCTTCTAGTAATTTGCTGATCAAACTGATGTTATTTTCACCATCCACTTACTGTCAGTTGTACTAAAGTAAAGATGCTCATAGCTTTGAAACCTGCTTCACATACTCCTCTTTTAATGATCTAACACTTAATTCTCTTAGAGTTTTGATTCTGATTAACTTCAGTTCTGACTGTAACTTTCGTTTGTTAAGGCTGTGTTAAAATAGCTTTTGTGCTATTGTTGAATTTTGCTTGCTGAGTCATTGTCATTCAGTTTTAATTAAAAGTATGCAACTTTTGTATCAGGTGTAACTGGAGAATGAAGTTATAAGGCAGTAAATACTCACAGAATATATAGACCTCTGATGTTTAGTGGGGATATATTTTTCAATTGAAGAAAAATAAGGTTAGGTTTCATTATCTCCACGTGCTTCTGTTCTACTGCTTGCTTGCCATGATCACCAGGCTGGTATGTAACAATTTGAATTGATCACCAGAGATTAGTAGGGTTCAATGAATATTTTCATTTTGTTTTTTGTTATTATTTAAATATAAGCTGGTGGAAATGAGAAATTTTAAAAGCATGAACGTTCTTGAAAATGGAGAGGCTTATATTTTGCCTTATGATCTCCATTTGGATTTTCAGAAGGTGAGAAGTGAAATTAAATGAGGGTATCTTTTCAATTAGTTCTATTAGAGCAGAAAGTAGTTTGATTTATTTATGGAAATGGTGAAATAAATAAAAATTCTGAGCACAGATAGCATTTTGAGGAGTATGAAATGTAGTGATGTTTTTCTCGGATGCACTTGAATCACCAATTGGTAGAACATTAACCTCTGGAAAAAGAGACCTTACTTGGGTAGACTTTGTAATTCAGAATAAAAATAATTTAGGCTTGTGTTAGATGGGTAGTGATATCAGTTTTAGTACTGTGATTTCTTCTGAAAGTGTGAAGTTTTTATTCATAATCTGTGGTAGAACACCTGTGGCACGGTAAAGCACCTCTTAAGACTAAGTTTGTGAGATTAATTTTTTTCTTGAAAGTTGCACACTTTTTCTGGAAGTTTGATGTAAATAAAATGCTTATTTATGCAGTTTATGCTTCAAGTGTTGGTTGCTTTAAATAGATTCTGCAGGGTGCTGAGTTTTGCAAGACTGAATTTGCCTGTTAATAGATTGGCCTTTTTGTACTAACTGGCGTGTTGGGAGAACTGGAAGAAAACTAGGACTTCTCATTGTTGTGTAACAAGAGTGCAAAGAAATCATGAAAGGATAAATTGTGTGACTTAGCTCTCCTTTTATTAACTGAAAAAGGTTTTCAGGATCACATGAGCTTTTCCTCTTCTCTAAAACACTTGCCATGGAGATCCCATTTTGCTGTTGTTCTTCCACTTAAAGGGCTTCAGCTAAACTTTTTTGAGCTATGACCATTTAGGAATAGTACTGCATGTTATATATGAAAGGTGTTTGTATACCAAATATGTATATCTGTATACAGAAAGATTTTGAGTTAACATACATAAAATTTATACAGAAGCTCAACTGTATTTCTTACACCTGCCTATTCTTACTCATTCTTTTACATCTAGCTTCAGCTGGAAGTTATATATTGTTTTATGACTTGGTCGTGTTTTGCAGCTTTTTTTTTTTTTTTTTTTTTTTGAGTAAGAACTTCTGCTTTTTATTATTTAAATTGAAATTCAGATGAAAAATGAGAAAATTGCCCCCAAGCCCCTCTGGCTTGCTTTGTTTACAGTTTTCACTGGAGTTTGCATTTATATGGCAGGCTTCCTGTTTCATAGTGCGGTGACTTCTGTCTAATAAAATTACTTGAATGTCTAAGTAAGCATGTCAGAATAACACTTAGAGCTGTCACTGTATGCACTGAAGTGAATTCCTGTTCCGTATTTTGTCTCTTGGCACTTGATTTCTTGTATGGTAACACTTTCCTGTTTTGTGGGAATATGGAAAAGTTTTAGCGTGAATAATAATGTGGCAAATGGGTTCAAACATGGTAGTGAAAATTACTGTGCCTAATATTAAGTGTTCTTACAGCTTTAGTTATAATGCCTCATCAGACTTGTATTTGATTTACATTTTGTTTGGCAAAAATACGGTGAACCTGAACACACACTACTTGGGTAAATCGAGCAGCAGAGTTCTGAGTCCACATTGCTACTTTTATTATCCTTGCGGAAACACAGAATCACAGAATTGTAGGGGTTGGAAGGGACCTCCAGAGATCATCGAGTCCAACCCCCTGCCAAAGCAGGTTCCCTACAGCAGGTCGCACAGGTAGGCATCCAGGCAGGTCTTGAACATCTCCAGAGAAGGAGACTCCACCACCTCCCTGTGCAGCCTGTTCCAGTGCTCCGTCACCTCACTGTAAAGAAGTTATTGCGCACATTTGTGCGGAACTTCCTATGCTGCAGCTTATGTCCTTTTCCCCTTGTCCTGTCTCCACTCACCACTGAAAAGAGTCCGGCCTCGCCATTCTGCCCCCCACACCTCAGATATTTATAGACCTGGATCAGGTCCCCTCTCAGTCTTCTTTTCTCAAGGCTGAACAGACCCAGTTCACTCAGCCTTTCCTCATAGGAGAGATGCTCCAGGCCCTTCACCATCTTTGTGGCCCTCCGCTGGACTCTTTCCAAGAGATCCCTGTCTTTTTTGTACTGGGGAGCCCAGAACTGGACGCAGTACTCCAGATGAGGTCTTACCAGGGCAGAGTAGAGGGGGAGGATCACCTCCTTTGACCTGCTGGCCACGCTCTTTTTAATGCACCCCAGTAAGCCATTGGCCTTTTTGGCCACAAGGGCACACTGCTGGCTCATGGCCAACCTGTCATCCACGAGGACACCCAGGTCCCTTTCCGCAGAGCTCCCCTCCAGCAGGTCATCCCCCAACCTGTACTGGTGCATGCAATTATTCCTCCCCAGATGCAAGACTCTACACTTGCTTTTGTTAAACCTCATCCGGTTTTTTTCTGCCCAGCTCTCCAGCCTGTCCAGGTCTTGCTGAATGGCAGCACGGCCTTCAGGCGTGTCAGCCAATCCTCCCAACTTCATATCATCGGCAAACTTGCTGAGGGTGGGCCATTATCCCCTCATCAAGGTCATTGATGAAGATGTTGAGCAAGACCGGACCCAGCACAGACCCCTGAGGAACACCGCTAGTTACAGGCCTCCAACCGGACTCTGCACCACCAACAAAGACCCTCTGTGCTCTGCCAGT